ATATATATATATATATATATATTAGGGGTGTAATGGTTCACAAAATTCACGGTTTGGTTTGATACAACACAGTGGTGTCACGGTTCGGTTGGGGGGGTAATTGCTTTCGCCGCAATGTTGGAAATATTTCTGTTTTAAACCATGAAGGCGAGCCAATGGATATCACATAAGCAACGTGCAAACTTTGCGCAAGAGTTATTTATTGCGCAAGAACGTCTTCATCTCAGTCAATTCACTATAAGCAGGAAGTGAAAGTAAAAACAGAATGATGGAGTAATCTTTCTGCATCTGACGCCGCATATTCTCTCAGAGATGGCGAGAAGAATCTACTTCAACATATGCTGATAACGGTATATTATAGCTAACTGTTTTCATTTATCCCCTTAATATTTCTCTTGTGGCCCATACATAGTGGAAAAAAAATGAGAAGAAGCGTATTTCGTATTAAACAGGTTGTTTTTGAAAGTCGGCTCTTTAAATAGGCTAAATAAAGCTTTTTATTTCACGATTTTTATTGATGACTGAAGTGTTAACATTCATAGCCTTATCTTTTGTTATCCTCGCAGCGCGTCAGTTACGCGGTTTTATGTGGCAAATTAATTGTAATTTTAATTTAATAATGAAATTTAATAATAAATCTAACTTCATAATAATAATAGGTCTAATAAAAATAAGAATGTAACAGGCCTACATTAAATGGAAATGCCAAATCCATCCAAGAATTGATGTTTTTGACAATATCTCCGGCTATCGTCGATACAAGATCCTCGTCTTTCGACACACCCCAGCAACAGTGTTGGGCAAGTTACTTCCAAAATGTAATACATTATATATTACTAGTTACTGTCTTTTGAAAGTAATTAGTTACATTACAATATTACTGTCTCTGAATTGTAATGCATTACACTACTTTTGAGTTACTTTTGAGTTACTTTCATCCAAAATATCCACATAAGTATTGTAAAATGCCAAAATGTAGTTTAATGCTGCTCATTCTACATCCAGTGGAGGGTAACGTGGTAGGTCTATATAGCATAAAATATATGAAATCATATTTAGATACCGGTATGTAGGTCTACATTAATGTTACGTTGTAGTTTAGGTTAAAAAATATAAGCACAAATCGCATTATTACATTCATAAATAACACTGGTAAATAAAGCGAAATATTATCATGTACAAACAATAAACACAATACCTAGCCTATAGGCTATTTTGAACGGTTTCAGAAGAAAACAAGAATGAAAAATATAAGTTGCTAAACAAACCAAAATGAATTAGGCTAATTCAATGCGAAACTGAAAGCAAACGGCGTTCTCGCGCAGCCTACCTCTCTCATTCGGCATTAATCCAATTAAATGTGTCCATATTTGCGATGTATTTGAATGCTAAACTATTATTCATTATGTAATCCAGGCTAACGCGCTTAAAAAACATCGTCGTCACATGAGCAAATGTAATTTGGCCCGAGCTCAGGCTGAACGGCACGGATTGTACTACACAGTAGGCTACGCACTATTTAAATTAACCAGTGTATCTATATGTTTGGTTGACTATTTTATTCTGATAATGAACAGGCTACAACGTTTGCAATGCTGTATGTGTGTGCGTGAGGCGCCGGCGCGATCGAACAGCGGAAACAAACAACAAAAAAATACTCTGTATTTTTGGTCATACAGATCATTCGAAACTGCAATGTGTTTACTTTATTTCTGTCATCTCGGTTTCCTTTCCCTGGACTTTCGTAGAGCGCCGCGCCACACAAATAGCATATGAACCAAACTCAGCAACATAGCCTATATCTCTCAGTCTTTTCCTTTCGTTTTGTTAATCTGTTAATTAGGCTATTTAAGTCAAATATTTCGCATATTCATTCATTTTATATATACACTATGATTTAATAAAAACAGATTTTATTTTTAGTTAAACTTAATTTTTGTTGCTCGTCCGCCGTCTTTTTCTCTTCTCCGACCCCGCAGCTCTCTCCGGTAGCTTAGTGTTAGTGGCACTTTAAACTAGATTTTGTTTTTATCGTGGACATGTCATTGATCCCAATACAAACCATCCAGCCATCAAATCTCTCCTAAGGCACAACTCTTCCCTGATTGGCTAGAAGACGTCACATGACTCATATGGCTTGACACTCCTTTGACATTGAATGGGGCGTCTGTGATTCAAAAGCTCTACTCATAACATCACATCTTCTGCCTGCCAGATATTACAAATCACAAATAACAAAAGCTGAATGTCCACCTTTAGTAAATCCAAATCCACTGCTAATTTTCCAGGAACAAACGCACGAATGGCAGTGTAAAATGATTTTATTACTTGGATGCGCCGCTCTGGTGACCTCTATATGGCGAGGTCTCATGGAAATGACTGTGATGTGACAAATGGCTCAACATTAGGGTGTGTAATTGTCCATTAGTGAGAGAACTCAGTGCACACAGCTCTGGGAGTTGGATGAGAGTGTGTTAGTTAGAGGATGTGATCTGCCAAAGCTGTTCCTCTGACAGACCACAGTAAGGCTTGGCGGATCTATGATTATCCTAAAGCTTTATAAAAGAATGACTGCACAATCACATTTAAAAATCATTTTGCTTCATATAAAACAAAAACCATAAAAACGCCTTTTCGTGATAAAATAAAGGTTAACTCAAATCAGTGGTATTTTAGTATCATTGAGATACTATTAGAATTTTTGTTAATATTTGGAATTTTATTTTATTTTTAGATTTTCTACTTACATGTTAACTTTAAAGTTTTATGAATTTTGTTGCGTTTTGTCATTTTTAGTAGTTTTTGATGTTTTTAAATACGTGTATATAGTTTCTTTTAATTTTTATTTAAGTTTTACTTCTAGTTATTTTAGTAGATCAAGTTGAACAAAATTAAAATGAGAAATATATATATATACACATATTTTTATATATTTTTTAATTTCAGTTAACGTGTGCAAGTAACAAGTATTTTTTTTATAGTTTTAGTCAACTATAACAACTCTTTAGTTAACTATAACAACTGAAATAATAAAATAAAATATATTAAACACTAAAAAAAATAAACATTTTATTTCAGCTTGTTTCCAAAGCATAATTTCGCATTTTCTTTTGGTTTAATTTAAAGAACTAAAATCACTAAAAAGTGAAAAAACTAAACAAACAAAAAAAAAAACAGAGATATATTTTAAAAAATTAATAAAGATGACAAAAACATTGAAACTACTAAAACTTTAACTACATTTAAAATGGAAACATAAAATATAAAAATAAAAAGGAATTCAGAATATGACAAAAAAATAATAGTATATCAATAATACTAAAATAACACTGATATCGATTTGCCAATAGATCATCAGGCAGATTTGTAAACATTTGAATGAAAAAAAAAAAAAACTGACTCAAAAGAATGATTCCTTCACAAATTAGGCATGACTTTGACTAAGTTTTACTCATCACATGAACAATATCAAGTCTAGACCAGTTTTAATGACATTTCCAAGCCTGGAAAACACAATTCTGAAAGTCCCTGGCACTGTATTTCCAGAGAGCTGTGCTGTACCTGTGATGGCGTGGTGAGAGAAGGCCTCCACGTAGGTCAGGTAATTGTGTGGACAGTGTTTCTTCAGCCACTTACACACGTCCTGCTGGGTCCAAAGCACCACTGGCTTACATAAGCTGGACAGTGTTGGGCTAGTGTGGTACACAGTGAAGGCCTCTCCTGGCTGGATCTGTGGAGCGAAAACATCTTTATTGTCACCATCTCGACAGAAACCAGTTTAAAACTGAAGCAAAAACTATATGTAGCCCATATGTTCACCAAACAACATTCCCACCAGGTTTAAAAGCTCAAAGCAGGTTTAAAATTGAAAAATGTCAATCTATCATACTAAAAAACTACAGATGGATTAGTAGGCAGGACAAATATGGAAAAACGGCCTGCTTTCATATCTTCAGGGTGCTCTTATAAGGTACTTTTTTTTGTGAACACGCTAATTAAAACAACTAGCGCTGCATGCTTCTGTGTAAACAATGCTCTTCTAATTACACGCACACTTTGTTCTGACTGCCGGAATAAGGCTCCCTGCTGCAGAGGTGTGTAATAAAACCCTTTACTGGGGTATATTACGCTTGTGTGAGAGCATGATGAAATGCAACGCTAGCTTGTGTAAACTATGAGAGTAAACGCTCACAGGCCTGATTCATTTAATCGTGACTACCAGAGACCTTACATTGTGAGACAAATCTTGGTATGCATGTGCAAACATCTTTATAATGTCTTATTTCTAAAAGTCAAAGTGAATATGCAAATTATGGAAAATCATGGATGTTTGACAAGTATGAGCATTTACCACCAAAAAAAGACCACCAGAAGACATTATTTAGACCACATAACACAACATTATTTAATATTTAAGAAACTGAATATATTTATAATGCAGGAAGCAAAGGATGGTGGGCAGAGACATGGATCTAAGTGCAGGAGCAAAAAAAACAGAACAAGGAACAGGAAACGCAAGAAACCATAGTATACACATCTAACAATTAACAATGAAACACTGGGAAACCAGGTCTTAAAGGGGTCATATGATGCTTTTTTTAAAGATCATTATTTTGTGTATTTGGTGTAACAGAATATGTTGACATGCTTTAATGTTCAAAAAACACATTATTTTTCAAATACTGTACATTATTGTAGGTCCTCTATGCCCCGCCTCTCTCAAACGCTTAGTTTTCTACAAAGTCCCTCCTTCCGACAAGCGCAGTCTGCTCTGATTGGCCAGCTGACACAGTGCATTATGATTGGCCAAACACCACAAGCACGCGTCGGAAATGTAACACCCCTTACCATAATCGCGAGCGTCAGCTTTCAAAGTAAATATCAAGACAGTTAATAATGTCGTTAGTTTTACCATCAGTTCAAGCCCGAAAGAGGAACAGAGTCGCGTGACAGACACAATGATGAAGCTGGTATGTGTTTGCAGCACACAAGCCACGGTCTTTATGGATCTTATCTATGCACAATCAGCTTGTAACACTCCAAAGAGAAAGGAAAACTTGAAATCGCATCATATGACCCCTTTAAATATACAAATGATAACAAGGAAATGACACTGACATCTCTATTCATTGACATTTTTCACAACCTATACCAAGGCTTTTTCTGCTGCGTACAGATGGAAGAAAAGGGTAACGGATTCCTTTGCGTACAACAAGGTTGCGTGCTTTCGCTGATGCTATACTTCCTCGTCATCGACTTCGTCAGCCACCACTCCATCGACATAACCTGGACAGGTGGCAACCTCGTCTTTGCGGATCTCGATTTTGCAAATGATTTCGTCGTTTTCGGCCGACCCAAACTACCCTACGAGATTTCACTACGAGAAAATCAAGCAGCCAGTGCTGAACTCCGAATCAGTGGGCAGAGGACCAAAGTTGTCCGCATCAGTTACTCAAACTCGAGAGTCCCGATTACTGTCGGTAGACAACAGGTGGAGGAAGTGGCAAACTTCACTTATCTTGGCAGCATCGTCTACTTGGATGGGGACGCAAGCATGTGCCACGTTCTGATAGTCTCAGCCTCAGACGTCACGCCCACGGACCGTTGGCTAAACATCTGATGCATATGGCACACAAAAGTGGAAACACTTCAGGAGTTTTGAAGTCGTCATCGGATTGGTTGAATTATACAGGATTTCCGGGAGACGCGCGTGTCGCGTTCTTTAGAGTTCCGCCTGGAAACAAAGACGCCGTGACGCCAAACCCCCTCACGAAAGAAGAAAACCATCGTGTTTAGAACTGTGACGACGAGCGCTTATCAGGATCAACTAACCGCTGGATTCTCAAAAGTATGAGAAATTTTTCAAGTTCGCGGCATAGAATCCTTAAAAAACGTCCGAGAGTTTTACACACCTGTCTGTTATTGTGGCGACATTTCCATGCCCCGAAACGTGATGATGAACGAAACGAACTGTGATTGGTTGTTTGACATGTCGGTAAAACGGCATCATGGGCGTGCCTTGGCCAATGAAAGCTGCCATGGATTCCACACCTTCAGCTGTCAGTCTAAAGGTCTGGCTACGCGAGACTAGCGTTCTGACGACTTCGTCCAATCTGGAGCTCGCCTTCCCTCTCCCTGCAGATTAAACTGTGGATCCTGGCCACAATCGTTGTGCCGACCACAAACTACATGCAAAACCTGGAAAATGACGGAAACGTCACTCGAAGTTTGTATGTTTTCTATCTCCGATGTCTGCGATGCATCCTCAAGATCACTTACAGGGACCATGCTTCAAATGTGGAAGTATACCGTCGCGCCGACGCACGGCCCCTCTCCGCGACCGTCACCGAATGCCATTTTCGTTTTGCTGGACACGTCTTATGCCTTCCTGACCATCAGCTACTCAATACACGATACTCTGGCAGCCTGCACAAGGCAAACGAAAACAAGGATGACCAAAAATCACCTGGCGAAGGACTTTTATGGACGTGCTGAGAGTAGGTCCCCTATAGTGGAATTAAGGTTAAGGTAACAAGGAAATGAGGAACACCTGGAGACACAATCAACTAATTAAATTGCAGAATGACTACAAATAGGAACAGGAAACTCAGGAGATAAGAATTACAGCATAAACGTCTAAACACAAGACAAAATCAGGAACATGTATTAGGCTACATTAAACCGAATGCACTGAATTAAGGTGTGCTTACATTTACTGTTGCTCGGCGAAATTTTGCTGGTAAAATCTAGCAATTTTAATAGAAATTAATAACATTGATATACTATCATAGCTTTGCTATTTTTTTTTTATAGGTTCTGTTTTAATTTTCATTCTGTTTAATTTTGTTGTGCATTTTTGTCATTTTCATTTGTTTTTTTAATATGTGCATATACCGATTTGTTTTACTTTTTTTATGTCAGTTTTGACTTAAAAAATGATACCTTGACAACAAGCAGAAATTAAATGTTTAATTAAAAAAAAAAAAAAATTCAGTTGACAATGTAAATGGGTTTTTAATGATTTTAGTTGTAATTTTAGTTTAATTAATGATAATATCCCTGATAAAAACCCGCACAATCAGGATAATCACACAGTAAAGCTGCTTGGTTGGAAAGTGGCATCTGTGTGAGCTGTGCTTCATATATCTCTACACTATTGACAATGGACAATGAAGCAAAATAGATAATGTAATACACGTAGGCCACAACCATCCCTTCAACTACACCCCAAACTTTCCACTTCTCTCTGTCTCTATATTTGAACAAAAAGCAGTGAATATGTATTTCAAATGAAAGGACTATGGTCGGTCAGAAGGATGGCAGTTCTTGTAGCAGAGGGAGTATTTGTTGTCAGGAGCTGCAGGTCACACATTAATCAACACCTGAAGACAGAAGCTCATTTTCACTCAGGAAAACAGACAGAAAGAGACAGGCATTGAGTTAGGTAGCAGACAAAACACAACAGACAGAACGAGAGTGAGAAAGATACAGATTCAGACATGGAACATTTTATTTTCATGAAGAGTTAGTGAAAGCAGAACATTGAAGTAGATGGCTCAACATACAGGACTGAACTTGTAAAAGGCTGAAAACATGATTCTGTGTGAAAAAGAGAGAATGTCAAACAGAGAGATGAAACAAATGAAAGCACAGCACAGGCCAGAAGCATTCAACTGACAGAATATAATATAAAAGAGAAAAAGAGAAGTCACTTAATCCTCTGCATATTTTTTCTCTGTGTGTAATAGGAGTCATATTTTGGCTTGATCTCTTAAAGGGATAGTTCACTCAAAACATTAAAATAAAATAAAATAAAATAATGTCATCATTAAGACCCTCATGTTGTTCCAAACCAAAGTTGTTTTTTTTTTTTTTCATTTTGGTTTTTGTCCAAACAAGTGCAAGTCAATGGGGTCCAATCAAGCGGCAACCTCCCCCTCTCTCTCGTGAAGCCAACAAGGAAGTGACTTAAACTGTAATTCATCAACTGGCCGCTAGAGGCTGGCTGCAAAAGAGAGTCAATCCCATAGACTCCCCATGTTAAAATGCCCAACTTTACAGCAGAAAAAAACGGCTTCAGCAACCTGCTCCCGTCTCTTTGCCCATTTTTGATTATCCGGGAGTGATGCGCGGTGGCGCGCTGCTAAGATGGCGACGGCCGCCTCACCCAATTTTGAGCTTCAAAAACGCTCTTCGGAAATCTACAGGTGACGTCACGGACACTACGTCCATGCTTTTATACAGTCTATGTTCGGCACCGATGCGCGGTGACGCGCTGCTAAGATGGCGATGGCCGCCTCAGCCCAATTTTGAGCTTCAAAAACGCTCTTCGGAAATCTACGGGTGACGTCACGGACACTACGTCCATGTTTTTATACAGTCTATGGGTCCAACGTTGTTTGGTTTCTTCAAAATTCTTCAAGAAAGTCAATCATTCAGGTTTAAAATGACATGGGGGTGGGAAAATTATGACATAATTTACTGTACATATTCCAGTGAACATCAAAATAAAATAAAAAAATGCATTTATATAAATTTTAAACAATATACTAACATAATAATATTAATATAATAATAAACTGCTGCAGAACACAAGTTACAGGCTTGCAATTGTATTTAAAGTATTAATTAAACTGTCAGTCAGTAGCTACAATAACCTGGGAAACAGAGTTGAATGGTTGAACCTGATGAATGCATTCATCAAAATTGGTATAAAACTGAAATTATATA